AATGGCAAAGTACAGGGCGTAAGATATTAACTGTCGCACAGGTTTTTTGAAAAATAAAACGATCCTTTATAGATGTTGCGAAAAAGAGTATTTTTTTGTTAACTTTGTAAATATTTTACATAAATTTTATTAATCCTTATTTGCATTTGCCAGCTTTGGGAGATAAGTTCATGCGGCACTCACGTCTTTTATAGGTGTACTTTTTCTTAGACTTTGTATAAAAAAAGAGAAAAAAAAAATGTATAGGGTTCGGTTCCGAGTCTTTTCGCTTGGTGAGTATGAGGCCTTATGTTGGACAAAAGACGGAGTATAAAGGACCAAAATGGGGGAAATTAGCCTATATTTGCAGAAGATATGTAATAAAGTAACCGATGAAGACTTGCGTGCCGCTTGCGTTTTTCTCCCAAATGAAGGTTAAAATTTAAAAACGAATTAATAAAATTTTCGCAAAATCTATAAAGGTCCCTTTTATTAAAAACAAAAAAAAAACGTGCGACAGTTATTATTTTACACCCTGTATATGATAAAATATTAATAGCTGGAAAAAAGAGAACAAAAGAAGTATAAAACTAATAAAGGAGTACATTTCCATATATTTGTTTTGGGAGTATAAGGGAGTACATTGCAATAAAAAGGAGTACGTGTACTCCCAAAAGCAGTACGTCTGGCAACCCTACTAATAGTATACCTACATCTGCTTTTCTATCCCATTTAGACTTTCGTTTAGCTTCTGGTACCTTTACAAAAACTTCGCTGCAATATAAGCGTAAATTACTAATATTCGGTTTGTTGCCACGTAAACTTTCATACGGAGTTTTATTTTCCGTGGTGTTAGCTAAAGTTCTATTTTTTAAGTATGATGCAGTTTTGATAACTTCAGGCCAAAGCCTGCTGTGCACTTTTGCTTCGGATAACATGCATCTGGCTGAATCCATTATTGAGCGGTTATGTCGTTCAGCTGTACCATTCAACTGATGTACATAAGGTGGACAAGGATCAATAGCTATACCTTTTTCCCTAGATAACTTATAAATGTATTTATTTACATATTCTTTTCCATTGTCACACCTTTTATCGTTTACCTGTTAGATTTTCAACACTGTTTATATAATCAACAAAACAATCAAATACTTCAGTTTTCGATTTAATTGTAAATATTTTCGCAGCCTTGCTATAATCATCGATAAAAGATAAAAAGTATTTTTCTCCATTTAAACCTGAAGTTGTATGAGGACCGTTTAAATCTGAGTGTATTATTTCTAATAGCTCC